GAATGAATAATGAGTACAGGGTGTACCACGGACGATGTCCACCTCCCTAATTTCCTTATATTGGTCCGTTTTTGGTAATTATTTTTTAAATTTTCCGAACGACGCCCAGTTTTTTGATGTTTCATCGGTTCATGAAATAACTGCATTTATGCTTGTCTCTTCGAAATTTTAATGCGTTCTCTAGAGCGAGCATTTGCTAAACAATTCTCCCAATGTAGCGCATTGAGAAAGAAAAAAAATGACATTAAATAAAAAAAATTAAAAAAAAAAAATTAACAGAACAAATAAATGAGTCCTCCAAGAAGATATGTTATCTTATGTCAGGTTTTAAAGTTTTTTTTAAGTCAGCCAAGATCGGACTTCCGGCAAGCACATGCCAATGAGTACTTACTATGAGATTTTGCTGTTACTACCTCACCTGCTGTAACCCTACAAAATTTTTCTTTTGTGGCAGTCCATTGATACATATTCAATGCATGATTACATATTCAAAATTGATCTTAACTTAAGTATAAATGAAAAGTATTTCTAAAGCAGTTTTCCCATATAGTGTCTAATCTGGAGTCGGAGTAGGGAATGCGAACAGCTTACTAATAAAATATCTTTGCACTTTTTCCAATGTCTTTAACGGTTGAAAGCCCTAAGTCAGATACCCTAACACAATCTAGCCTTACAAACCAAGTTAAAAATTATAAACTTCGTTTTAAGGGGGATTATATCGCTGGAATCTGAGAAAACATCTACACAACGGGCATATACAACGATGATCCCATCTGCAGATAATGTAAGGAGGAGGAGGAAACAGCCACCCACATCATCTTCGAATGCGATGCAACAGCTCAATGGAGATTTAACCTAACATAAGCAAAAAACTTACGGAATCAAATTGTAGCAGCGACAGTCAATGAGCTGATACTTCTAAGGAGGTATTGAGTCTGTTGCACTGAACTAAGGAAGTAGGAAAGTACAATAAGCACAAACCCCGCTTCCTAGGATCCTTATTACCATACCAAGGGGGACTATATTTTGTGAAATCAGGCGAGACCAGACTTTGTTTAAAACCTATTTTAGCAATGGAAGCTTTTGATTTTATGTGTGGAAACTATGATAAATAGGAGTGAATATATTACCAAATACTTATATTCAGTTATTGTCTCTACCCTTTCTCCCCTAAAAAACAATTTTTCTAAAAAACGGGTTTTACTTCCTTTTTTGAAGATCATTATTTTAGGCTTTTTAGATTGACCGAAGGGTTCCACTTTTCACAGTATTCTTCCAGAAGATTTATTACTGGCATAAAATATTAAACTTGAATATTAAGCGTAAAAAAAGACATATTTAAAGAACCATTTTACATAGAAAGTACTTGTTTGCTGTGAAAATAAACGTGAGTGTTGTTGAAAAATCGTCTAATCAACAATTTGATAATTGATGGGTGCACATTTATTCCGGCCGTGATTGTAAGTCGCATGAACGAGTTTTCCAAGGCGGACGTTGTCGGCTCATTCTTCGTCCGTTCGTATTTCGGAACTAGTAAGATGTCGAAGGAGCCGGTAAGTCGTGGCTCAAGAGAAATCACTCATCTTGCCCAATTCCCGGCATTAACATTTAGATTAACATAATAACGAGAGGGTGCACTATTAGGTACGAGCGGGCAGACAGAGGGTCCGCCGGTAAATGAAATATGGAAATCGGTTTGAGATTGATTGATGCCTCGGTGGCAAGAGCGGCTACTGGCTATTAGCCTCGACGCATTTACATATTGCTAAGTAATAACTGTGATTCATTATGGACAGATGTCGTCCAATTAGGAAGGTTTGACGTGTACAAATACCCCGTTCCGTAATAAAATAGGTCTCTGCCAGTAAAAGAACAATAGAGGATCTGATTACGGCCAAATCACGTACCCGTGGCCATCGTTAATGAATCGACTTCTTTATTGTGCACCTATACAAAAGCGACAAGCCATTAATTGTTATTATAGTTCATGAAATATCGGCCAGTCCGTCCCTCGCACAAGCTACAATTTCAGGGCAAGAGAGATATCGGGCGACGAAGTAAGCCGGGAACACACCAGATGCAACGCTATGCGACGCTACCCAATGCTTCCCGACGCATTGCCACGTTTTGGTAGGGTGTGCACATCTGTGCGACATCAAGCGCACGCCACGTACCGTCACACAGCGTGTATCACAATCAATCAGTATCACAATCGCAACGCCTCTTTTGTTCTTAATGCATTTTTTTGAGCACAACCATGTAATAAATAGTTAAATTTAATTGTTTTAAATAAAGTTATTCCGGGGTTTGATAAATTTTCTGCCTAACCATCACAATTAAATAATCGATTAACGGTCACTAATCACCACACATAATTAAATAATTTTGATAAACACTCATGAATTTTGGATTTACTTTATTTTGGTTTATATTAAAATAAGAGTGTTGCAATTAATATAACGACAAAATTACATACACATAGTTTGAAATAAACTATAAAAAATATGAGCATTGGTATGAGCAAAACCATGAAATAAATTGTTAGTTTAATTTTATGAGCAAAACCGTTTAATAAATTATTAGTTAAATTTTAATGAGCTCAACCATGTAATAAATAGTTAGTTAAATTTAATTGTTTTCAATAAAGTTATTCCGGTGTTTTGATAAATTTTCTGCCTAACCATCATAATTAAATAATTTTGATAAAAACTTGTGAATTTTTGATCTCGTTTAATTTGGCTTACATTAAAAAAAGAATGTTGTAATTAATATAATGACAAAATTACATAAACTTAGTTTGAAATAAACTATAAAAAATATGAATGTCCTGTTCTGACGCTACTCGACGAAAATGGTGTAATTTTATGAGCAAAACCATGAAATAAATTGTTAGTTAATTTGCATGAGCACAACCATGTAACAAATTGATAGTTAAATTCATTATATCAAAAAATGTTATTCCGTTCTTTTGATCAATTTTCTACCAAACCATTAAAATTAATTTTTTAAAATAAAAACTAATGAATTTTTGAACTCGGTTAATTTGCTTTATATTAAAAATACTTTGTTGTAATTAATATAACGACAAAATTACATACACATAGTTTGAAATAAACTACAAAAAATATGAGTGTCCTGTTTTAACGCTACTCGACGAAATGGTGTAATCGCATGAGCAAAACCATGAAATATATTGTTAGTTAAATCTTATGAGGAAAACAGTGTAATAAATTGTTTGTTAAATTCATTATACCAAAAAATGGTATTCCTGTGTCATGATTCATTTTCTATAAAAACTAACGAATTTTTGAGCTCGGTTAATTTGATTTATGTTAATATAAGTTTGTCGTGATTAATAATCAAAGCACACGCCTTCAAAATCCAACGATTATAAATATAAGACGTAAAAACGTATAAACATAAAACATAAAACTCTCAACACAACACACAATAATCGTACATCTACACAGAAAACAAACTCTTCCATTGAGTGCAAATACTTTGATTGAGTCCAAAATTTCTAGCATGTTATAAATTCATTTTTTCACATCTTACATGTATTTCTATAATTTAAATAATGTTTATAAATCCCAGGCCCTGAAGATGATCTCAATAAAGATCGAAACGTTGGCACGATAAAGAAAATGTTTTTCTAAACCTACGTCCCACCAGACCGCATCTCACCATCTCCAATAATCATTTTATTAAAAGCATACCTTCTATGGTATGTATTCTCTCAGGCGAGAGGATTGTTTTCTCCATTTATTCTTATTTTGTATTAAATTTCTAATTTATTCATATCCACATTGTATTTTAAAAGACGTGACCACTTGGTATCAATAATTTTAATTAATTTACGTATATGTTTGTATTATTTCTAAGTAATATTTTAAAAAGAAAAACTTACTTACCAACAGGCCTGATGGCTTTTTTATATTAAAATTAAATTCATTACTTAAATTATTTTCTGTAAAACAAGCTGCTCTGGTGTACTCCACATAAAGTCCTTTATCGACAATACACTGAAGAAATAGTTTGGGTTGAAGGAGTTATACAATGAGAGAGTATTTTTCATGTAATTCTTAGCAAGTGAGAGTTAAACCTGAAGTTGTTGAAGAACTTGGGAACCCTGATCATTTCGGCGATCCTGATGATTTTGGTACGATGTTCCACCAAATTGTTTCAGTTCACAACTTTTATTGCTTTTAAATCGATCATCTTTTTATTGCTCTTGTAACCTGTTATTAATTACATATTACATATTGAACAAATGTTCTGCCTTGTGGGTGCGTCGTGGCTTGCTTTGTTTCGACTGGAAACAACTGTCGACCTCAGGAAACCGTCCGTTATTCCTTGCTTAGAATATCTGAATGAAATTGCCTTACAAATTAATTATCATTCTTATTACCAGCATCGATCAATTACAGTATTAGAAAAATATGTGCTTTATAATTTTATTAATTATTCTTGCGTATCGCATAATTAATGTATTCTCTCAGGCGAATCAGGCTGGCGCCAATTTTTAAATTGACGGTAGCATAATTATCATCAAACATTAACAAAAATTGCTAATTTGATTTTTTTATGAGTAAGTGAGAGAGGGTGCGAGTGTAGCGAGTGAGTGGAGTAAGTGATTGAGCGAATCAGTGAATGGAGTAAGTGTGAGGAGTGAAGTGAATGAGTGAATGAGAGAAGTGTGCGAGTGTAGTGAGTGAATGGAGTAAGTGATTGAATGAAGTGAGCGAATGAATCAGTGAATGGAGTAAGTGAGAGGTGTGAGTGAGTGAAATGAATGAGTGAGTGGAGTGAGTGAGAGAAGTTTCCAGCAACTTATTCTCTTGTTCTTTAACAATGTCTTTCAAAACGGAATTATCAGACTTTTAAAAATTTTCTATTAGGAACCATTTTAATTCCTGAAATTCAATTCGTGATTGCACTTTCAGCCGAACATTGTGACACATGTGAAAACTAGAGAAAATTGGAAAGGAACAACACAAAGATTAACTAGAACAAATAAAAGTATATTATATAAAATTAATACAAAATACATAAGTCATGTAATTGGACGGAATGTTTAACCCACATAATCGACATATATATGTATATAACTTTTTATAGATTACTATCACAAAAAATTGTAAATCTATTGCATATTTATATTTTGCATTGTTGTTGAAATTGCACAAGTTGAAACTACTTAATAAATATAGTGAAATAAGCTATGAAGGCATATCATTTGTTGTAATTAATATTTATTTACAAGAAGAAAGACACCAATTTGTCTTGAAGAAATATCTTCGACGATAGCAATATATAAATAATATTTCTCTTTAAAAGAGAGTAGAGGGCTTTGTAAGCCACCAATATGTCAAATTTCTCAGTTAAGGCTGATTTACAAGCGCTTTTTTGTATATACACCGTGTCCTATGTTAGAAACAAAACTACAAAACTTTCATCTTTTAAAGCATACAAACATTCAACTCGAAACATAAATTATTCCCAGTAGAAGAAATATCAGCAATATTTCCAGCAGTGCTTAGTTATATTGAAAAGGATTGTAAATATGATGTTTTCAAACTATCGATTTTGAATGTTACGTTATTAGGTGATAGTCCATTCTTTTCGGTCTCGAAATTTGGCTGGAACTGGGCAAACGGTTACCACTTCGGTAAGTGAAGTTCCAGTGAAGATCGCATTAGTTAAACAAAAAGTAGAACCGACTATCGTGTAAAAATGGCAGATTTGTAAATCAGCCTTAAGCAGTAAATTTGTCAATTTTTCTTGAGTAAAGGCACTATTAAAAGCGTTGTTTGTCTTAACACTATAATTTAAAAGGACGGATATGTTAACGACCGAAGGAGATATTTCGTCTTACTGTCTCTCAGGCACCGCTATTTACAATTTATATAGAATCTCGTTTATTTATATAGGTATTTATAAGTTGGATATGTACAGGTTAACTGACGAGATCGGAAGCGCCTAAAAGCTCCATGTGTTCCCTGGCTTTGAGCCTGAGGGCGGCGATGGAGTGGGTGCGCATGTCGACCTCGGGTGGCGGATCCATTTCCATCTTGGGCCTCGGTATCAACAGGTTTGGAAAAGGAGGTCCGGGGAAAATCGGAAGGAGCGGCGGCCGATGGAGGAACATGGGCGGTCTCCAGTCGATCGGCTTCCGCAGGCCCATGAAAGGGTTGGGGAGCGAGGGGGCCATCGCTGGGGCACCGACGTAAGGGCTGTAAGGGTGGGCTTGAGGGCCGACCTTCTCTTGTTTTCGCCATTTCGCCCTCCTGTTCTGGAACCAAACCTGAAACGAAACGGAAAACATTAGACAAACTCAGAAAAAAAAGCCTGATGATGGATGAAGCCGTCTGTGTCTTACAGCAAACATACGCGCGTAACAGTATTATGAATGAGATTTCTTTTCATTTATTAAATCTGTTCGTCATCTACACTACCAGATTAAACGGAAAAAATAACATCGCTCGTTTTCGTTATGATTATCCTCGCAGTTATGATCTGTCGGTCCGACTTTCACCACATGCAGTGTTTTAATTGTTTTTCCATAATTGTTGTACATTCACTCCCTAAAGAACTCGAGGTCTTGCTTCACCTTGCTTACAATCCTCAATCAATACTCCTCGGAGCGGAATTAAGCAAACCTTTCCTTTCACGCTAATAAATTACATTCATTCGAATAAGTTGAAATAAAAAGAACAGCCAAACAAACATAGAATTCGAACCACATGCACTCCCCAGATTACTTTATATTCCTTGGGGCGGGGTTGAGTAACCCCTTCATTTTACGACAATAAATTGGAGTCCATCTAATAAAACAATAATAATCACAACAGCTGATGCAAACATAAAAGTTTGGTCACATGCCCATGATAGTCTGTTTGGCATCCCAGAGTAGTCGATATGAATGAATGAATGAATAAAGGCTTTATTTACACATGTATTTACATTAACTTTACATTTCCAAAGAAAAAGCTAAATTGACAATGGCCTTAGCCGTCTGTCGAGTTGCTTTATCAATTTTTGAATCTTGAATGAATCCCTATTTTTGTATCTTTAGAATGAACTTTGATTTTAAAAACTGAATTGGTCAACCAGGTATTTTCGGTACCGCAGGGCGTGAGTGAGGTACAACACAAGCTTCCTCCAGTTATCCCTTCCGTGGAGGATTGCAATGACTTCTTCTACATCCAGCTTCAGTTTCCCAAAGTACTTTTGGCGGAACTCTCTCAGAACGGGGCACACTCCCATGAAGGAGAGTGTCCTCCGGAACGTTGAGGTTACATAAGAAGCAAATGATGGGGCGGTCCTGCCTCCACGGTTGGCAGTTCAGCTTCGCCCTCAAGACCAGAGACACCTCATAGGCTGTCATATCAGAGCACTCCATGTAGGTTCGCCCTAAGTGAAAATCCAGTCTTGCGTACAAGTTGTGATGTAGGCTGTTTCTCGCGCGGGTTACCAGGTCTTTCCTTTTGCTCTCCTCCCATTTTTTTTTATCAGGTCCGTGGTATTAGAGGACTTCAGTTCTTCCCTACTTACTCCTACACCGTACAGCCTACCTAACTCTGACAGCTGCTTGTGCCATAATATGTCTTTATTTATTACTACGCCGGCCAAAAACTGCGTAGTCGATATTCTTCGGGGTAATTATAGGATATGTCCCTCCATTCACGCTTATAAATTACAAATCACGTACCAGATTCGTTAACACTATCCCAGAGTACTCAATATTCCTGGGGCAGGGGGTAAGCAACCCCTTCCTTTCACGCTAATAAATTCCATTCATTCCAATAAATTAATAAGCACAACAGCTGATACAAACATAGAAGTCTGGTCACATTCCTCCCTAGAATATTCGAGCTTCACCTTCACCTCACTCCTGAAGCCGAAACGCATTTGACAGACCAAAATGATGGAAAAAGACCAAACTACATATCCATACTCAACAAAGACACGGGTCTGTCCATTTACAAACCCTTAACCATGTGGTATAACAAACCAAATTGTTAATCAGTTTTTTTCACCTTGATAAGCTGTCAGAAAACAATAGTAAAGGTATGAAATAATATAGTCAGTTAACAACAGATTATTGTGATTGTCTCTATTATGCCACCCATTACTGATCACGGTCAACAAGACAACAAGGTTTAAATCAGAATGAAAAGGTTTGTTGCAATTAGTAAGTAATTTATGTATTATGGCTGTGTTTGTTACATTGCCGAAACCGGCATGAAATAGAAATGTCTCAAAAAGCCATGTCTCTCGGGTACGAAAAGGAAATGAAAGCGTTTAAAAATCATTTTTTTCAGTCCCTTGACCAATTTGAGAGTTGCACAATGGTGTAATTCATTCTTTAATAGATTTCCCTATCAAAAATTACTTTAATTGTCCTTCCAGAGAGATAAGCCTCTCCGATTATGATGTTTCATCAAACCCAACCTCCTCCACAATAGTAATTGCCCTTCTTCATGGGATTCCTTCTCTAATGCCTGTAAATCACATACATTTACCTAATGTTCTTTTTCATTTTTCATCATTTTTCCTCTTTTTCAATTTGCAATTAAATCTACTAAATGATGCAAACGGGAAACCCGCTTGCCGACATTCTAGATCGTATCTTCCAATTAAACCCTGAAATGATCATCCATCATCACACAGCTAACGATTAGCGATTCACAAATTAGAAAGACCCAATTACTGTTAAAACCCGGTTACTGTCGTTATTGGTATTTAAGATTAAATCATTTTAGTTACGATTATGTCCTTTTCCTGCCGTTAAACGGTTTATTTATAAGATATCGCCGACATAAGCATCATTTTTTTTTGGGGGGGGGGCAAAATTTCAAAATGTTCAGTACGTTTAAAATTGTAAACTTATTCGATTAGTTTCGTTAATATATCGTACATCCAAGCCTTACAAAATCAACCCTCAAGCAGTTATCTAAAATTATTTTCAGAGCTGTATAAAGACCGACAATAATGAGTACATACAGATCAATTTTAAATTTCTGACCTCGATAATTATTACACAGAGAATAACTGTGAAACGAAGTACAAACAAGGAGGTAAGTACGGCCCTACCGACATTAGGGCAGGGTTCCCGAACTGATTAGTCAGAGAGGAAAGATGGTAATTAAACTATCGTTTGTTTTGCATCATGCTAATGCGATTAATTAACAAGTTGATTTATTCGCTTGCTTTTTCTAATTCGCGTAATTATTCACTACCGGGATTAGATCAGAAGCAGATAGAGAAAACACACGGACCGTCGTTGCCGGATTTGGAGCTTGGAGTTTCAAACACTAGGAACGGAATATTTTGCGAAAGTTTCTACTATACACGCTATTTGTTTGGGAAAAACTTCCAGTCGGCACGGTGTCACATTCCAAAAACACTAGCCGTTGGATTTCATGGAATGAAAGGGAAAAAAGGATAATTTCTGTGACAGATGCTGCACGTGAAGTTCCAAGTTGTGTTCCTATTAAACAAAATTTCCTTTTCATAGCCAGCAGTACATTTCAATAATAAAAAAAAGCATCGATTTACAAAAGGTGCTTAAAATATTAATAATTATAATAAATGTGGGAAATTTTGGGGTCGACAAACAGTTGAGGACATCGGTGTTAAACCACTCCTTCCATGGAAATGATAAATGATGGAGTGAGTGTGGTGTTCAATCCTTTTTAAAAAGATAGTTCCTACCCACAGTTAGTTGTTTGACAATGATCCGGATTTCGAGCCTTTTAGCTCATCATCAGGTTGTGGAAGTCCTTCAATCTGATGATGAGCTAAAAGGCTCGAAATCTGGATCGTTGCAAAATAACTTACTGTGAGTAGGAACTATCTTTTTAAAAAGGATTAACCACTCCTTCCTTTCACGCTAATAAATTACATTCGTTCAATAAACTAGCCAAAACACAACGCACGATACAAACAAAGAAGTCTGGTCACATTTACTACCCTGAAAACTCGATATTCCACGGGACGGGGTTAAACCACTCCTTTCTTTCACGCTAATAAATTACATTCATTCCAATAAACTAGCAAAAACACAACAAACCATACAAACAAAGAAGTCTGGTCACATTTACTCTCCAGAATATTCGACATTCTTCGAGCGGGGTTAAATGTTTCTTTGACGCTAAAAAATTACATTCATTCTAATAAATTAACATAAACACTATATTTACAAATCCCTACAACCCTGAGGTACCGGAAGCCATCTGTGCCTACCTTACATATTCTGTATAAATACCTCACAAATTAATGTTGTATCTCAAAATTGACAAAATATTGATCAAATATATAGAAAAATTAACAAAACTTCGAGATATTTACTGTGATGTGGGCAAATTATAAATGGGGATACCCTACCAATGCTGTAAGAATTTGTATAAAAATGTGAAGCCGGAGAATTACAGATGAAACGACTGCACGTGCAATCATAAATATTGTAGGTGAGTGATGACCGAATCCTATAGCGTTTTAAATATTTCCGTTCTAATGATGATCATCGTTTAGTTAAGTGGTAATACATGAAAACACAGTTAGTGGTTACATGAGGCAATTATTGGAAAGGTAAAAAATCTTATAATGACAGTCAATTTTGGAGTTAAAAACTCAATTTCTATGCTACAATTTTATGCAGACCAGTTGAGAGATGGAAATAAGTGAAGTTGAAAAGTATTGTTGTGATAAAGTATTGCTTAAGATTGTATGTAAGTAGATTTTTTAAAGACAAAAAGTCATTTCAAGAGTTTTATTTACGAGCAAATAGTTACATCTGTTTGTTGACGAATCACTTAATGGAAAATGGCCATGCTTGGAGCCATGAATATTTTAACTGTCTCATCTGCCGTCCCGTCATCGGTACAAGCGGTTAATAAGGGTACCTGGTCGTGTGGGTGGCAGCAGGAAGTGGTGATTACGCCCGGGTGGACCGGGAGGAGCGGCACCCTTGGTTTGCACCTCTTCCCGTCTAATTCCATCCTAATGCCCATGTTCCTCTCATTACCGTGGGGCGACGTTGCCCAACTCCTTCGAGGAAGTCGGCAAACAACTGTAATATTAATAAATTGCCTCGCTTGCCTCTTCTCCGGGAGTAAAATTGGCCTTTGATTTTGTTTTTAGATTTGTTGGGAATGAAAAACGACGGACGTCACGACCTTTCAGATATGGTATTCCATCGAACCTCACGACCGGCAATGTCATGTTCTCGGTTTTACACGTTATTTCAGCCGGAAGTATTGCATCTCACTCCACCGCTTGGAAAATAGTTTACATAACAAA